GTGGCTGGTGTCTCAGCATGGTGCCTCTAGGGTTCTTTCATGCAGTCTCGAACATCAGCACCCCATTTGCTTTTATGGCCTTAATCATATCCCAGCTGTCCTGTCCCCAGGTCATCAAGGACATGCTTGGGCCAATGCATTGGACCGAGACTCGTGCATATGTAGGTCCATGTAAGTGTGCGCCTTGCACATATACACCACACACTGTGTTTCTTTCAATAAACAATTAAAAACCACAGGAACCTAACTAAGAAAAAGATTGACAGGATGGCTGTTTCATTGATTAGCTTTCCCATCCCTGGGACAAAATATCCAACACCTGCGACATAAAGGAGGAGCTGTTTATTTTGGCTCCTGGTCTTCCGAGGCCACCAGTCATGGTCAGCCTAGTCCTAGGCAGAAACAGCACAGTGGAAGGACCTGGTAGACAAAGCCACTTCATCCCAGAGGCCAGGGAGCAGAGCAAGAAGGGAATATCTGGGGACCTAGCGCCTCCTTCCAGGTCACACCCAGAGACCACCTCTTGCAACCCATTCAGCTGTGTCTCTAGGATGAACACAGCATCCCCTGACCCCCCCCCCTTCCCAAACCCTTCTCTGACCTTTGGAGGACTTTCCAATTCTAAACTCTAACAGCTACACACACCTAACACACACGTGTGAACACAGTGGTGGTTCTCTTGTGCAAAAGTAGCATCAGCTGTGCCCACCCGAGAGCATGAGCTTCCGGGATGTATGCCCTTGATATAAACCGTGCTCCTGCTGGGACCTGTGAGCACACTATGCAGTGAAATGCAAGGACATTTTTAAGCCTCCACATTGACAGTAGTGTGAGAAATCATGTCAGATTCTGGCCTAAGTGAAATTCTCTGTGGCATTTGTACTCACAATGCTTTTTGGTAGGTGGGACCAAGTGAGAGGCAGAGCTCCCCTTTCCTCTGTTCTATGACATCTGGGACCCTGACAGGAACACTCCAGAAGATGGGGATGCTGCTGGTTCATAGGTCAGGTCCTCTTCGTCCTCCTTGGCTGAAGTTTGCTGCCTTAGTCTTTCTGTCGCACGGTTTCTCATCCTTAGTCATCGCCGCATGGACAGATTTCACCTTCAGAGAGTGGCAGGCGTAGGGAAGCGGCAGCTAAGAGCCGTGCTGGCCGAAGGGTTTCGCATCTTATGCAATTGAGGAAAAGTGGCAGGGTACAGCCGTATCTGTGTCTGCGTCCAGCTTCTTTTGTTTGCTACAAACCTTTGTACCTTTCACTATTTCCAGTTAACTCACTATTCACACCTCAAAAAATCTGCAGCTCATGCATTTTTATCTATAGATATACATTCAGTATGTTTTAGTGCTTATATTCTTAGGGAAACTCGGAATAACCGGCCTGGTCCAACACCTCAGAACCATTAGTACAGCACAGGTCTTCAGAGTGTGTTTCGTGTTGCAGCTCTAAGTGGGCAGCGTTGCACGTCCTGCCCTGGTATGCAGGAATGGTCAGCAGCTGTCCCGGGATCAGACTGGGCTGGAACACTGAGGAGGAGGCACTCAGGAAAAGCAGCTCTCAGATGGGCGACAACAACCCAGAGCATAAACAGAGTGCCACTGAATGGGTGTCAGAGCAGCGTGCCAGTGACCACTGTCAGTAGGCTGAATGCGAAGAACATGGACCTCGCTGGGCAGACACACTGTGGTCCAGGTGGCTCTCAGTCTCCTAGGGATGAGGCTGCTGACCACCCGGGTGTTCCCTCATACAGTTCAGGGAAGCAGTTAGTGTGTGCAGTGCCACATGCAAAACCAGGGTCATGGGATAGAGGACAATCATGGGTAAGGGTTCAGGAAAACGTTGCTTTTGTAACCTTTTTCAATACAGAATAACACTGTCCCCCATCTTCCCATGATGTGGCTTCTGATGGTGTCCCATGCTGGAGTGAAGCTGGACACTGCCAGGGGTTTGCTGGTCCTAGCTCAGGAGATCAGACTGTGATGGCAGACAGTGTAAGCGGTGTCATCATCTTGTAGAGGGACCAGTGGGTCTTACCATCCCCAGTGTGCAAGGTTAATCATTGCAGGCGAAAAGAGAGAGCCTGAATGGGCCAGGGACAGTGGTGAACTCACCAGTGTGTCCATGGAGAGTTGTACCACTGGACAGCACATTTCCCCTCTGCCTCTAGTGCCAGGATACTTTGGTGTCCCCTGTGGATGCAATAAACACTGAGCCCACTGTGGCCAAGCTCACCCACCCAGACACCCCTGGAAGAAACACTCCCCGGCCTGGCAGTGACAGAGCTGGCTGCTCACACTGTCGCTTGCTACATGGGTCACACAGCACTGTTCACAAGCTCTGGAGAAGCCGAGCACCTGGGGGAATGACCGAAAGCACATGGCCACGTGCCAGGCCCACTCAGAGTCTCACAGGGCCAGCAGCCTGGTGCCTGGAGCTCTTCTGTGTCCAGAGGGCCTCCCTCCACAGCCTGCGTTCTTAACAGTGTCTACTCACAACAGCAGGCTGGTGCCATGGCAGGACTGGGTGGGCAAGGTGCATCTTTATGTAGATAACAGTTAGGACCGAGGATGGAAGTGGCAAGGCAGGGAGATGTTCCCAAGCTGCTGGAGCATTGTGTGACACATGATCTGTTCCTGCTGAACAGAAGATCAAATGGACTCAAGGGCCTGGGTCGCCTCACAGCCACCCCTCAACCCGCTCTCAGGAGACGCAACTTGGGGTGTGGAACTGCATCCACCTGCTTAGGGACAGGAAGTGCAGCCAGCAGGGTGCAGCTTATAGAGGTGGGAACCCTTAGGGGAAAAGTGATCTAAAACTCCAGAACTCCAGAAAACAGCAGCTCCACCTAGGAACCTGCATGGGATTTAGTGCAGATGGCTATGAATCCCGGCTCTGCATGTTCTCTAGTGTTAGGACATTGTCTGTCACCCTGATGTGCAGATCCCAGCATACTCTCCTGTCAAGCTTTCCCAAAGATTCCCAAGTGTGTCTGGAGTATGGGACCCTGGGGGACCCCTAACACATCCCATTTGCTGGAGAGACCCCCCTCCCAGAAGTTTTGAAAAGAACCCAGAGCAATGTGTGCTAGTAGGGTGGAATTAGATGCAGATTTCCACAGAATCCATGTCTTTGCTGAGGTGGCCTCTGTGCTACCACCACAAGCAGGCAGATGCTCCTGTTAGCCCTGCAGCTGGGTGTTAAATCATAAAACTCAGATGCAGGATCCTGGTAATACTGCTTTCTCCAATGCAGTAAGGCCATCTTTGCTAACAGGATTGGGGACATTAGCACACTCTATACCCCAGCAGTGCTGTTCTAGAGGAAATGCATGGCAGTTCCAGACTTCTTAAGAAGGCACAGAGACCAAGGCCTTCACTTTGAAGAATCTGATTATGCGTGGATGCCTGGGGAGCATGCTTCATGCAGGAGCTTCTCTGAGGCTTTTTTCCTTTAAGTCCCAAAATGTGTATCATTGTGTTTTTGAATTCAGGCAGTTCAACAAATAACAAATGAGGAGCACCACGCCTGGTCATGTTTTATGATGCCTCACATAATTTTTTAATTTCTTCATCTCATGATCTCTGTATTCCATGCAAACACTAGACATTTTTCTCCTCTATGGTTTTGTGAACTTGGGGGTTCACGCTCAGAGATGATAATCATGGGCTGCTGTGTGATTGTACACCAGGACCTGAAGGAAATGTGAGGTAGGGCTGGAGAGGAATTAAAAGGCAAGCAACATCCAACAGTGGGCTTCCCTGAAGTTCATTTTATAGAAAATGTAGTGAAGTATCCAGGTGTTTTCAAATGTTAATGTTAAAATAATAAAATTTGGCAGTTGGAGGAAACATAAGCTATTGTAGGAAGTGGTTCCCCTTCTGTGGCTTTGGGGGCAGGACTGTGCTTTAGGCCAAGGCAGAGGATGAGAACAAGGAGGCGGTGGGAAAGGAGCAGGGACAGGAGGCAGGCACGGGGATGGTGGCCCCTGCAGACCCGCCTTCCAGACCCAGGCAGGTCTCATGGTTTCAAGGGGAAATGGTGGGAAACCTTGCTCACCACGGTGCTTCAGAAACACAGTTCTCATGGTAAAGCTTATTTTCTGATTTTCTTTTAATTAAAAAGCCATATTTGTTATTATCATAAGGCACTGAATTAATTATAGTCAAGTTTTCAGACTCTGTTCGGAGAGAAGGTTTATTTATCCTCATAAAACGGTGGTAAACATCATTTTGATTTCAAAAGGCATCGTGCGGGGCTTTCCTGTGTGGAATCCCCAAGCCATCCCAGTGCCTGTGTACAGCCTGTGCACGCTTCCTGTGTGTGCCACGCCCACAGCTCAGCCTCTGCTGCCTGCAGTGGGCACAACCACAGAGCACACAAACCACCACGGGTCAAGTGCTTTTCAGTTGCGTCGGTCCTAATCTCGAATAGCTGCTTCCTTGTCATTATTCCTTCAGCACTGCACTGTGACTGCTGAACACAATGTTCTGTTGTGCTAGTGATGTGGGGATGACGTAAACTCCAGGTGGGCTGTGGTCAGTTAGCTCAAGGGGCCTCGATGTCCATTTCCATTAGGCGTTGATGAAAAATTGCCGCCCTCCAGTAAACACAGCTGAACTAAAAGGGACCTCAGCCAGCCATTCTGGTAGAACACAAAAACTTAACCAGTAACTATCAGTAAACACACCAAAAGAGCCATCCCAGGAAGCAGGAAAGGCATCACCCTGTGTTGTTCAGATTGCTGTGGGAGCTGGCTTGATGCCTAACAGTCTTGGGAGCACAGTGGGTGAAAGCGGAAGTAGAATTCACCGAGGGCTGAATGTCTGAAGAGGTCTCCCAACGAGGTCCTGGTTTTGTGGGCTTCCTGAGGTGATGATGTGGACCTCCTTGGTCTTGTTTATACCAGTGGCTGGGTAGGTGGGTGGGTCAGTGGGCCGGTGGGTGGGTCTGTGGGTTTGGCTCTGCTGTCTCTGAGTGACATGGAGACTTGTCACCTTCCAGTGGTGAACTGTTCAGACCCAGGCTTCGTGGACAACGCCGTTCGGCATGGGCCGCAGAGTTTCCCTGAGAGCTTCGAGTACGGCACAAGTGTCCTGTATCATTGCAAGAAGGGCTTCTACCTGCTGGGCTCCTCAGCCTTGACCTGCATGGCGAGTGGCTTGTGGGACCGCTCTCTGCCCACCTGCCTGGGTGAGTGAGCACGAGCTCAGCCCTGGACAGCACCAGCCGCGGAGCACAGCGCCCACTGGGTGCTCACAGAGGTCCTGGGTTTCCACTCTCCCTGCCCCTGCCGTCTCCAGTCCTGTCAGCTTCTGTGAGAGCATAGATAGATTACCCAAGACACAAACTACACCTTAAGGTGGTTAGGATAGAGAAACGGGCTGGGTAAGGTCATGTACCCTGCTGGGGAGATGCAGACAGGGAGCCTCTACACCTCACAGACTGACCCCGCTTTTCCACTTGAGACCCCTCTCCCTTGCAACATGGCCTGCATTGCCCTCAGTGCTGTCAGCCTGCCTCAGCCTCCCTGCCAAGGGGTCTGAGGTGCGGAGCCAGGACCTATGGGAACACTGGGTTCTCAGAGGGGCTGAGATAGGCCTTCACAGACATGATGCAGCCATCCGGCTCCAGCTGACAGGCAGCATCCCGGTACAGGTGTCCTTGTGAACCCAGGCAGGGGGAACTTGGCTGTGATAGAAGGCTGCTGTCCTCGGGGGAGACCACACTTCAGTCTTCGGGACTTTCCCTCCAAGACAGAACCATGTGCAGATTTTCACAGACGTAGACTGAGGAGAATATGTCCTCTAACCCCAGCAGCTGCCATCTGGTTTTCTTTCACTTGCAAAATCATGTCTTCCTTTACCCAAGGAGCACAGCTGTATGGAAGCCGAGCCTGAACACCCAGGAAGTCAGTGGGATCTTCCTCCTTGGCCTTTTAAAATTCATACAACCCCTTGGAGTCTACAGGGAAATTGCTTCCAAGTCAAACCTGGAGATTAATTTCCATGGAGATAGAAAACCACAGTCTAGAAGGAAATGCTCTCCCGCACATGTGGGTGCTTTCCAGCCCTCCTGGAACCTTGACCCTGCTCTACTTTACCTGCCTCAACCCTGGGGACTTTTCCAGGAACTGCAGGAACTGGTTTTCTCTTTTCCATCCCCTTCCCCCCCACCCATCCTGCCAAGACTCTGCAGGCTGCTGTGAGACTTGCAGTCGGCATTGTGCTGCAGGGGACGTACAGTGCCCAGAAGCCGGATGCCTGGCCCTTCCTGGGCGGTGATGCCTGTGGCCTGGTGTGAAAGATATGGGCAGAAAAATGACAGGCCCCCCAAAATTTTAAAAAAGTGTTTTATTAGTTGAGCTCAGCCGCAGCACTGACCCAGAAAAGCAGCCAGGGAAGTGGGCTTGGGCCAGGGGCTGCAGGGAGTTACAAAGTAGCAAGCCACAAGGGGAAGGGTTAGGGTTTGTCCCCATAAAAGTTACCAGGGAGGCAGAACAAGCAGTTACAGGAACCAGGGAGGCAGGGAAGGGATTACTTGGTGAGTATGTTACAAGGTTGCAACTTAACTGGCAATTATACAAGTTTTACAGGAAGAGAACAAGTTATCATAAGTATAGCACATTTTGGGTTTTTGAGCTTATAACAGAGACCTCAGGAACACATGAGGCACCAATCACCAGGACCAGGCGCTGTGCACCCTGGAGCAGCTCAGCTTCTCCTCCTTTTGCTGTTAGTTTCACTAACGCTCTTCCTAAAATTGGTCATTTTCCCAGCCTTTCAGAGTTTCAGGTCTTTTTAGGGTCTGTGCTGAGGGCATGTCTACACAGCACAGACAGCAAGAGCTGGAGAGGCTCAGCCTGGGTGATGCCCCTACATGGGTGACCTCACTCTTGGAGTGCTGGTGCTCACATGAAGTCACCTCAGAGTGTGAGACAGTTCCCTTGCAGTGCAAGTAGTCAGCTCTCTACAGCACTGTTAGCTCAGTGTAAGAAGAGAAACTATAGTCATATTTTACTTATTCTTTTTTTTTTTCTTTGTCTTTTTGAGACAATTCAGGCTGGCCTTAGGCTTTGAAGCCCAGGCTGGTCTCGAACTCACAACAATCCTCCTGTCTCAGCCTCCCAAGTACTGTGATTACAGGAATGTACCACCTGCCTGGCCATAGATACATTTTAAATGGTTCACATTTGAAAAAAAATTACTAGAATGATTGTCTTAGACATGTGAATTTAAAGATTAAACCGTTCGGTCTCCAAGCAAAATGCATAATTTCATGTTAACTGAAAACCCAGGAAGAAGCATGCAGGGGTCCACAGCCCCAGCAGGTGGGTCCATACTGTTCCTCAGAGCCCCATGACACCTCCCTGTGCTCATGTGAGCTGCAATAAGAAGAGCCGGAGAAAAAGCAGCCGAGTTTTCTCCCTGAAAATCTACATGTAAATTTTGACCTTAAGGAAAGCTACATTAAGGAAGAAAAAAGCCCACTGCCAAAAATCCTCCCTTTTCTTCAGTTAACACATTCTAGGGAAGGTAGTATGATCTGGATTTTTTTTTTTTTTAAACTGGAAATGAAACCCAGGACTTCAGACTGAGGTTCATCTCCTGCCCTCCCTCACTCTGAATTCTGAGACAGGATCTCACTCCATTGCCCAGCCTGAGCCAGAGTTCCCACCTTGCTGCTTCAGCCTGCAGAGTGCTGGGATGAGGGGCCAGTACCCCAGAGCAGCTGGAAGCCGGCGTTTCTAATCTGTAGGACAGCCGGCCTGAGCCCTGTCCTTAGGAGGTGGCGTGTGGGGACCTGTGTGGGTGACAGTGCACTCCGTTTGACCGAAATGTGGCGCTCAGTTGCTGTCGTGTTCTCTCTCCTGAAGCCATCTCGTGCGGGCACCCTGGGGTCCCTGCCAACGCTGTGCTGACCGGGGAGCTGTTCACCTATGGGGCCAGGGTGCAGTACTCCTGCAAGGGCGGCCAGAGTCTCACGGGCAACAGCACGCGTATCTGCCAGGAGGATAGCCACTGGAGCGGGGCCCTGCCACACTGCTCAGGTGCGGGCTCTGCATGCGCAGCGGGTGGGAAGCAGGGTGCAGCAGCCCCTGTCCCAGACTGTCCCTACCCGCTTCCCACCCAGCACGCCGGTAGCATCCATGGTCATCTTCACCATTCTCACGGTCCACTCCACACACGCCAGAGCCCTCCCCCTCCCCCTCAGAACCAGCCTTGAGCACCAACCTCACCAAATCACTTGAGCTTGAGTACGGGCTGAGCCCAAAAGCTTGGTGGACGTTTCTGGAAACTGCAAAGGCACTGGTGTGATATCCCATGAGCTGCTTCCTGCAGGACAATATTGCTATGTTTCATATGTGGGAAGAGTGCTCCCTCACGTGGAGCACCCTCAGGGCCATCGTCACCAGGGTCAAGGGGTCCCCTGCTTTTAATGTGAGTTCCTGGTCACAGGGCTAGGATACCTACTTCCTTTTCTCAGCCTCCCCCTAGTTGCTCCTTTAGCCTGTGTGTGTGTGTGTGTGTGTGTGTGTGTGTGTGTGTGTGTGTGTGAGTCCTCTCAGTTCTTTCATTTCACCACTTTAGCATCTATAATGAAAGTAATACATTTTAAAAAGACAACCACCATCCTAATCCTGCAATGAATGCATCTATAATAAATGTCAGTGCATGGGAAACTCCGGGCAGAGGCGTGGACTGTCAGCCCTTGCGTGATGTGTCTGTGTCTGTGTCCCACCCCAGCCCCTCCCCTGCGCCCTCTGCTCTCAGGGTCCTCATCTCTGACCCAAACCTGCCGCACCAGCCTGTGTGCAGTGAGGCTAACGCAAAACTGCCTTGTCGATGTGCTGTGTTCCACAGGAAGCAGTCCTGGGTTTTGTGGGGACCCAGGGACCCCCGCACACGGCTCTCGGCTTGGAGATGAGTTTAAGACCAAGAGTCTCCTGCGCTTCTCCTGCGAGATGGGCTACCAGCTACGGGGCTCGGCAGAGCGGATGTGCCTGCCCAACGGGTCCTGGTCAGGGGTGCAGCCTGCATGTGAAGGTGAGTGCTATACCTGTGTCCACCCTGAATGCCCAGGCGGCTGTGAGTACGAAGGGGGACAGGGCAGAGATGCTCCCAGACTTGTTAAGAGCATCATCAGAAATCACTCTGCTGATCGCTAAGTGATACCTTGACTCCTCTGATGGTCCCACCACACTGGTCCTTATGCTGTGGACATTGAGGTGCCTCCTACTCTAGTTGGCATCTCCACAGGGTCATGCTGGGTTTCATGAGTGAAGGAGGAGTTGAGGGGCAGCGAGCAGGGGTAGCACACCACAGCCACGGGACTCTGTGGGGCGAATGTCCAGGTGATACATTCACCTGAGCCCCAGTCTCTCCTTTACCGAGGCCTCTGGGGCTGTATCACATACACTATTTTGCAGCGGAGACTTCAGCATAGTATTTGAAGGTGGAGGAGGAGTTTTGCAGTGCTGGGCATCATTGGCAGTGTCGGAGGCAAAGGTGAGGTGCAGTTAGCAATGGTGTTTAGAGCTCAGAAGAAGCCATCAGAGTCAGACAGGTCAGGCTGCCGTGTGGTGTCAGGAATCCTGGCAAACAAACTTCTCAACTAACTTTTCACCTAAAAAAGAGGATATAGTTTAATTGAATGTGTAGTTTTTGTGTCAAACTCTTCCCGCATATGAGACATAGCAATACTGTCCTGCAGGAAGCAGCTCATAGGATATCACACCAGTGCCTTTGCAGTTTCCAGAAACGCCCACCAAGCTTTTGGGCTCAGCCCGTACTCAAGCTGGTACTATCCAGTGGATACCCCCCCTCTGAGTCTGCTAACAGCATCCCATCCTGACAGGGGCTTGAAGAAAATTAGATCACATCTGCTTTTGTTAGCAACCTAAACTTTAATCATAAGCTTATTAACTTAGTATCTCATGAAGTTGCAGCTGCTTGTGCCACCTGGAAGGGCACAGAGTGCCATGCACCGAGCAGGCTGCACTGCACTCTCTCTAGCCTGGCACACTCGAGAAGTAAAACACCTTTCAGTCAGTGTAGGGATGCACTGTGTAAATCAGGTAAAGTAAAATTACAGTTTACCAGAAGGAATCACACTAAGCAAGTGTGCTTGAGGAAAGTACATTTAAAAATAATGAGACCAGAGAGCAGAGGATGTGGTGGAAGTTTAACCACCAGCTTAAAAAAAACATACTTTTCTCTCCTAGTGATTCTAAACCTAATCTCTTGTTTTAGTCCTACCTCTGTTGTTTTGTAACCTCATAACATCGGAATAAAAATGGGCATGTTGGTGCTGTCTCTGGCTCCCATTCACATTGTAGCTGCAGTGGGAGAGGGGGAAAGGGAAAACTTAATTGTACATCTCACTTTGGGAAAGACAGCACTTAGCTGCATTCTCTCTAGTGCTGATGAAGGAGATTTTCTCACATGAGGAGGAGGAGGAGGATACTCTCATAATAGCATTCACAGGATACGTTTCACCAGTTGTTTGATGAATTTAGCATTCATCCTTCCCAGGGGACTTTCAAAGGTCTACACACAGATTTCAGCGGCAAATGTGATTCAGTGTGGGTTGGCAGTGTCTGAGTCCCAGGGAGACAGACCTTATTTCCTCCCTGTGCAGACACACTGGGAGGGGTAGCTGCATGGTAGTGTTTGCATGCTAAGTGATAGATACATGTTTGTTGAATGAACAGCTGCCTGGTGTGTACCAAACCTTGGTATACTGCAGTACGGAGTCTCAATTTATGTTACAGTTATCATAAGCCTTTCAACTTAGGAGACTCTTCCATAGCCTCTGTTTCTGGGTGGGCAGATGTTTCTCAACTCACACAGAAACCCAGAGGAGGCTGATTAGCCTCTGCTAGAAAAAGTGAGCCCGGATCCATGAGGGATTAAGGGGTGTGATTGATTAGCTCTGTCTACTGCAGGCACCTCGGTGGAAGCACCTCCTGTGTGCTGAATGTTAGGTTTTCAAGAAGGTCCCAGCTCAATGTCAGGTGACCTCCTGAACTTGCGAGTGTAATGACTTCTAAACGCCTTGCAGATCTGACGGCCTGCTTCCTTCCAAGTGTCTCAGAGAAGGACACCTTTGTCTCAGGGCTAGCTTTGAAGAAGGAGTGAACAGAGATGCAGAAGTTTCTTAGCTGCGTCCCTCACTCCCAGACAGCCTCAGGATGCTTCCTTGCTAGGAGAATCCAGTGGGTCACGCTTCTTCCCTGTCTGCTTGTTCTGCATCCTTGTGACTGGGCTAAGGAAGAAGTGTTTCGGTTACCCTGGTAAATGAGCCCAGTTAAAAAGAGCAAGAAGAAAGGAGGAACTGAGGACAGTACCCGGAATCACGTCCAGCAGCATCACAGCTGCCCTTGTCTACCTGCAAAGGAGCTCACACTGCAGAGCCACATGAGTGCAGACCTGTGGCACCATCACTGGAGCACAAGACCCGAGTCTTCAGTTTTCAGAGTCAGCTGTGGGTGTGGGGGGTGGGGTGCTGCCAAGGGGCCCATAGCACATGGGTAAAATTCTGTCTGGCCACAAAAATGGATTCAGTCTCAAGTAGCAAGGCTGTGTGTTTCTAACTCTCTATTCACGTTTTGGTTGGTTTGGAAGCAATGCACTTCAGAAAGGATAGTGTTAACATGTACTGTTTTACATTTGAGCTGTTCAGTAACCAAACTTAGGAGTCTCGGTCAGATTCTGTGTGGACATACCCTAACGCTGTGAGGGTATCAGGAGCTGGCCTCCAGTCTGTGTCTGCCAGGTCCTCATGGGCCTTCTCTCTCTCCACAGCCGTGTCCTGTGGGAACCCCGGCACCCCCACCAATGGTCGGATAGTGAGCAGTGATGGTGTCCTCTTCTCCAGCTCCGTGGTCTACGCATGCTGGGAGGGCTACAAGACCTCAGGGCTCACCACGCGCCACTGCACGGCCAATGGGACCTGGACCGGCACTGCTCCAGACTGCACAAGTCAGTACCCTGCCCCACGGGAGCCACAAAGTGTCAGGGAAAAAGTGGGATTCTAGGAAGGAAGTGAAACATATTTAACACTGGGATTCTGCCCCCTCAGTGCTGTCCGTTTGGCTGCTTTGGTACTAGGGTTGGGATTTAGGGCTGTCACACTGAACTGCATCTCGGGCTCTTTTCTTAGATTCCATTTTGAGACAGGATCTTATTAAATTGCTAAATTGCCCCAACTGAAGTCAGATTTGGGACCCTCCTGCCACGGCTTCCAAAGAGCTAGAATTAATGGTGTACATCACCACACAGGCCCTTGAGGTGCTGAAATAGCATTCTCCACTTGGCAATTTCAATCCTGAGGCTACTTTAAATAGCCGGGTAAGGCTGGACAAGATAAAGCTGGAACAAACAAAAGCCAAAATGTTTCTGTCTGTAGGCCATTTATTCTGCAAACAAACCAGATGCCAGGTCAGTGACCACAGCTCTGTATGTCCCTGGGCAGCAAAGTGAGGTTTGACACCATGAGTGCCTGGGGTCAGCCATGGGCAGCAGGCAAGGTCTATGCAGCCCCTCTTCGGAGAATAGGATCAAGGTTCGAAGGCATGTGGTCAGCCTTCCTGTAGCCAGTGGTCAGCCAGGTCAGGTCGCCTCTCGATTCTTGGCTGGTCCTGGGAACAGACTTGCAGGTGGCTGAGCAGAGACTGAAGTTACCTGCACTGTGATAACCGTGCACCTCTCTGGTCCTTTGTGTGCTGCTTGCCCATTAGTTATCAGTTGTGGAGATCCAGGCACGCTGCCCAACGGTGTCCAGTTTGGGACTGATTTCACCTTCAACAAGACCGTGAGCTACCAATGCAACCCCGGCTACCTGATGGAGCCTGTTTCGGCCTGCGTCATCCGCTGTACCAAAGACGGCACATGGAACCAGAGCAAGCCTGTCTGCAAAGGTGGTGGCCCTTTTTATTTTGAGGAGTACAGAAGCCTGTTCAGAGCTAGGTTTGATTTTGTTTTGCAGTCATTCACGGAGCTCTTCCTGGAACTGGGAATTCTAGGAACTCCTAAAGTCTCATTTGCAAATTCTTAGTCACTCTTGTCTCCCTACTCTGTTATGGTTAGTTCCACAGGTGGGAAAACTGACTCCCAGAAAAGGGTAGCCAGAGCATGGGACTCCAAAGCAGAGTGGAAAAGCAGAGTTCGAGTGGCTTGCACCCAGCCTCTGGCAGGGGTGCTGCACTTTGAAGCTCTGGTGTCTGTGGGTGATGGGTAGCAGATGTGGGTGAACAGAACTGTGGGCTGCAGCTTCCAGACAGGTGCACTAGGCCTTGTAGAGAGTGCCAGTGGCAGGACATCTGGGCGGGCAGGTTGGGGAGGACGGTCTCTTCCCGCCAGAACTTAGTAATGCTCACATTTCAGGTGACAAGATAAAGATGTCATCTGTAATTCAGGAAGACAAAAGCACAAGTGTGGTGGGGCGAGGCGCTGCTCACTTTGAACATTCTCTTTCCCCAGCTGTCCTGTGTGGCCAGCCCCCTGCAGTGCCCGATGGGAAGGTGGAAGGCACCGACTTCCACTGGGGCGCCAGCATCAGCTACAGCTGTGCAGACGGCTTCCAGCTCTCCCACTCCGCCATCCTCTCCTGCGAAGGGCATGGGGTGTGGAAAGGAGAGGTTCCCCAGTGCCTGCGTAAGTTCCACAGCAGCCCATGCCCCTAAGGGAGGATGCACCATTGCTATGCATCCCAGGGCCCAACACGGTGGTGTGGAATTGCACCAGATGCAGGAGGAGACCCAATCCAAAAGCACACATTTAAAAATTATTAGAGCAAAAGGCATGGTGCCATTGATGTCCCTCGGAGTCCTCACTTCAGGTGGCACATGTGTCCTGTGGCTCCTGCCACCTTTTGAAGTGGTTCTGGACATCCTCTTCCCCCTGCATCTTTGGCTGTCCTGTCCTGTCCTGAATCTACTCTGACCGTTTCCTTTTCATAGCCACTTTGACACTGCTAAGAGTCAGAGGTGCTCCGTGGTCAGGCCTGATTAATCAGATGAAGAGGGGCACACAGTGATGTTTTCACGACCCTGCCTTTCCATTGAATGCAACTTGAGAGCAGCATTCACCACATTTCTGATCATGACTTGCAATGACAGGTACAAAAGTAGATTTGCAGAACTGCTACAGAAAGTGGCAAGAACGGTGATAATGTGCTCGAGGTAAAGTCTTTTCAGGGAGACTGGTGGCCTTGTGTCCTTTAAGAATCTTTTGCTTTTAAAGGCACGTCGTGTTTTAGTAGACCCTGTAGGCAAAATCTCAGGCTGCAGTGTGTAGCACCAGGGCCTCACGCTTTCCTCTGGGTCACTGTGTGTGGTGGTTAACTCTGAAAGGTTCATAGAACGCGTTACCACTTCCAGTACGTGAGCTGCGCGGGGACGCTCATAGCTGAGCTCTCACTATTGATCCCCACAGCCGTGTTCTGTGGAGACCCTGGGATCCCAGCTGAGGGCCGGGTCAGCGGGAAGAGCTTCACGTTCAGGTCTGAGGTCTTCTTCCAGTGCAAGGCACCCTTCATTCTGGTGGGGTCGTCACGGAGAACATGCCAGGCCGACGGCACCTGGAGCGGCATTCAGCCCACCTGCATAGGTAATGTTGGGGTCTCAGTTTTCTCCTAGTTGCTGGGACAGAATTCCTGACCTCCACAGCATCAGGAAAGAGAGATTGATCTTGGCTCGCAGGCCATAGAGGTTTCAGTTTGTAGTTGGCTGACTTCAAGACGAGGGGACGTAACAGAGAAGCTCATGGCACAGCAGAGAACAAACAGCTTATGCCTGGCAGACAAGACACAGAGCGATCAAGGGAGGAGGAGGGAGGTGACCCTGCCAGGCTGCCCCCTGTGATCACCTCCCAGCATCATGCTCGGCTGTGAACTCCACAGTGGACCAATCCATGATCCAGTTACCCACCTACCAGTTCGTGAAGCTTTGAGGGTCACCCAGATATGAACCAAAGCAGATGAGGATGTGGCCCTACTGTGTTTGGGATACTTCCAGACAAAGACGTTTCATTCCTAAGTGGGGTGACGGGGTTCTGGGCGAGGCGCTGGCCTGAGTCAGTGCCGGCAGCTAGGCAGGCAGGCAGTGACCTCCCAAACCTGCACACTGGGTTAGAGCTGCATCACAACTGCTGCACAGATGCAGGCCATGCCAGCCCCAAAGCCGCCATCACAGGGCAAATGGCCTTGCTAGGTTGGAGTCGCCCTGTTTTATGGAGCTGTTCTCTGCAAATTTATAGTAAAAAACAATAGTCTTTAGTCTTGGTTATTTTCCAAGAAATTAAATGATGCCCACTTAAAATGTAGTATTAGAAATAATTTCATTAAAACATCTTTTTAAATTTAGGAATTTCTATCTCTTGATGTAAGCCACTGCTAGATGGAAGACATCTTGGTACTGCAAGTATTTTCCTCCAGTAGCTTGGTTGCTATAGAGAGTACATTTTAAATAGTTACATTTTTTGATTTTCTGTGTGCAGCTGAGAGTAGCAATAGTGTAGTCCAGCCAGTACCCAGTGGCTCATGTCCTTAGGATTTGGGTAATGTCTTATTGGTAAACTGTAAGTTTCCATTGGACCGCTGAGTATTCCTATCATTTTGAAATCTTGAGGAAAATTTATCCACCAAATATGGGATATTATCATGGGTAATTAACTATGATAACCATTAATTAAATTTTTATAAGGCAGAACTTCATAATAGTTACTTATGGATCACACTATAAGATTAACCATCTAGATACTGGTAAAGGGATTGGTAAAGGGATTATTCTTATATTAATAAGTATATATAGATCTATTTAAAGCACAGTAAACACAAAGCATTAATTTCTGAAGATGTTTGAAGAGATGCAAATAGTTACTTTTTAACATTTATGATGATGTTTTGCTTGTTTGTCAAAATGTTTTAAATTTTGCAAGATTTTTAAATAAAAAAGTTACAATCTTTTTTTTTTGATTGTGAATTTCAGATCCTGCACATAACACCTGCCCAGATCCTGGTACCCCACACTTTGGAATCCAAAATAGCTCTAGAGGATATGAGGTATTTCCTGTGTTTCACTAGAGATATAAAATACCACTGGTACTTAAGTATATGTGCAAATTTTCATATGTAGAAATTGTTCATGTTATATTTGCCCAAAGTCATTCAATGAGGATTTCACTGTCAAATCTGGAGAATCAGATGTATCCTGTACCTTGTGCCAGCTATCTGAATTTGCATTTGGAAGCACTCACACTTACGTAGTTTCTGTGTGTTGAGCTCAAGGGCAGTTCTCCAATCAAGACTACTTGTTACTGAATAACTACACATAAGACTCCACTTAAAGACTACATATAATGCAGAAATACTATAAAATTTACATTCCACAGAGAAAAACTAAAAAAGAGACAGAAAAAAGGAAATGTGTCTTAACCCTCCAGGCCAAGGTTAGGTGTGAACTGTGTTCTGCACGTGACCTCTGAAGGCAGAGCCATAAATTTTTGGCAGGAGATGATCACATTAGAATGTGCTCTTGACTTTTGATGAAGTTTGCACTGAAACTCTAGTTAATACTGGACAGATGCTTAACAATGCAAGGTAATGAAAAGTGACAGGAGATGCTCTGACAGTCTTACATAATCAGGCATCTTCATGGCTCTCTGACAATTGACTTTAAAACCCAAGTGGAGTGTGTACACGCCCTTCAGTGGGTGGGTCCCCTCAGTGTAGAATCAAAGCCTCTTCGCTCATGGCTCGGAACCCTGGCTTGTCTGTCTCACCTGTCTGGAAGTTCTCTGCTGCCTCTAACACCTGGGCGTGTTTCCTGGAAGGAAGCTCTCGTGGGGAGTGGTTTGTTAGATATGGTCCATTTTATATCCCATCTCAGGAAAATGCCCCGTAGCAGATGTGTATTTCATGGCCAGTACCTAGGGATTCCAGGCATTCTCCACGTGGATTTGTTCTCTGACTTATTGTGTTCCTGGGACTTCCAAGAAGGGGAGGTGGCAGACCGACCTGTATGCCTCGCCCAGGGTCCAGCAGTTTCTGACCTGAGCCTGGGGTACACTTGAATGCTTTTCCATATAAATCCCCAGAGGTGTGACCCCAGGTCTTAGATGCTCCCTGGGTCAGCAGGCAAACTGTGCGGCACGGTGTGGGTCCTGCAGAGCACAGCTGGAAATCTTTGCCTTGCTGTCTTCTTCCTCATTTTGTCCACCTCACCTGGCCTCTTGCTCCAGGTAGAAGGGAGGTGGATGATCTTGGCGCCGTGAACACACGAGGGCCACAGCTCATTCTCTGGATTGGTATAGAGGGCACTGGGAATCCCTGAGGCCTTCAGGGTAGGGAATGGGGCCCAAAGCACATGGGCCATTGCAGCTCGCCGTGGTGACAGTGGCATTCTGTCTGGGCAGTGAGTGACGGTCCCTCTCGGAAGGGGGGATGCACAGAGAAGCAGGGTGCAAGCACAGTCTGAGAAGGAAAGGGGGAGCTCAGGAAGGCCTGGAAGGGTGGGCACCTCAGGTGTTCAGAGCACACAGAGCCCGAGACCAGAAGCGGCAGGAACACAGAGCCCACGCGGAACCTGTTAGACAGCAGGGGCTGGGAGGGTGAGCGAAAGTTGTCTTCTACCAATGCACCAATCACTTAAAATGTAAGTGGCAGAAAAAAGAAAAAATGAATAATCAGTTCAAAATAAAAAGAGAAAATTCTGGAAGTACAGAGGACAAATAAGATATAGTGCTTTATCGACGTGAGCACCCGGCAAGGTGAGCTCGTGCCCGGCCCTGACTCCTGCGGGTCTCCCTACAGGTGGGCAGCACTGTCTTCTTCAGATGCAGGAAAGGCTACCACGTCCAGGGCTCCACCACCCGCACCTGCCTGGCCAATCTCACCTGGAGCGGCATGCAGACGGAGTGCACCCGTAAGTGGACCCGGCCTGCCCAGCTGTGGGAAGCTCTTACCTTCAGGGCAGCTAGCCAGGCGGTATGGCTGGGTTTGGTTTCCTAACCTGAAACCTTGGGTACTTCCTGAGGGGCTCCTAGCGTGGCAGCATGAGCCAGGCAGGGGCTTCGTGTTGGGTGCAGAACATCCTGCTCGGGGACCCCAGGTGCTAAGAGCCGGAGCTGAAGCCCAGAACCCGGCTCAGCAGGGCAGGGTTTGGCTGTCCTCACTTATTTTCTGGGTTCTGTGTTGGAGAATGAGAATAAATGTTTAAAATGCTATTTTTGCTATAGGTTTGAATTGATCATTTGAATAATTAAAGATCAAATTTTATTTTGTGTTTCAATCATAAGAGATAGAAAAAGTTTTTCTTGAAAACTTAATCAGTAAATCAATAATTCACTTGCTATTAATTTATTGAAATATTTAATCTGCTATGTTGAGCATAAAATTATTAATAGGTAGTTAAGAAAAATCATCATAGTAGAAAATTATGATTTTGTTCATTTATCAATATTATAAGATGCATATTATTTCAAAGTTTTCATTTCTACATCACTTATAGTATATACAATATAGTATATAAAGCTTGCTAGAAACTCATTATGTTGAAAATTTGGAAGGTAGGAAAGAGGTAAAATATTGACAAAACATAAGCGATTACTTGTACCATTTTAAAATTATAAACTTGTTTTATAATTATCTGCCAAGTTCTTTATTTCAGACATATATAGGAACTTCATAGAGTGAGGTTTGCTACAAAAAAGCATTACAATTGCTTTTATTCCTAAATTACATTTTTAAATAAGCTACATCATTTTAGTAAGACACAGCATACACATCAAATTTTCCACCACTCACTTAATTGAACCCTGAAATTACTTGTTGCCACCTGATGGAAATCAAGGCTTATTTGAGCGTGTTTTTTCCATGTTAGTTGGTAAGACTGATCACAGAGGAACATTTTATCTAGATTATTTATCAGGCTTGTTCTGTTTATTTTAAGCTGAGATTTTCTACAGAATCTCTGCATATTCATTCTATGTACGTATGAAGCCACTAACCAAGGCTGAATTCTTTGGTGTGTTTATTCCCTGAGCTCAGCTCATCAATGACCCTGTAAGGGACAAGGTCCCAGCCTTTGTAATGGGATAAATGCTGTGTGTTGCAGCTCACGCCTGCAGACAGCCCGAAACCCCAGCGCATGCCGACGTGCGAGCCATCGATCTTCCTACGTTTGGCTACACCCTGGTGTACACCTGCCACCCAGGGTTTTTCCTTGCTGGTGGTTCCGAACACAGGACATGTAAAGCAGATATGAAATGGACGGGGAAGTCACCTGTCTGTAAAAGTAAGTCACTGGTTCAGGTGTGGAAGCACACACTTCCGGGCAAGGTGGATGTCACCTGCCCTACAGCAGCAGGCAGGTGTGAGACCCAGGTGACACAGGTGGGCTAATGCCCTCACCTGTCTGGACACACCCCATGTGTGTGAGCCACGCCATGCGTGTCTACATGCACATACAGTTTCAATGTCTGATACGTGGGTATTAAACTGTGCTATCTGCATTTTAAACCAAAGACAAAAGCCATTTGGTTGAAGAAAAGCATTCTGAGTTAAAAATAACAAAATATTTTCAAAAACGTATTCCTTAAAAATGAAAATGGATACATAAATACCACAAAGTATCTGAGAACATGTAAAGTAAGCTACCTATATTATTTTTAAGACCGCAAGCTTTTGGGTGGCAGAAAATAAATTCCTGATGTTGATTCTGTTTTTTAAATTACAAAGCAGCTAGGTGGACATACGCAGTGCTACTCACCAGTCCTGTGTTTACTAATGCGGACTATAAACTGAGGTCCAGTTGTAGGGTAGAAATCTCTCAGGTACTACCCAAACAGAGATGACACCCACAAGCTGAGTTCTAAACTGTGACCAGAAGAAGAGGACCTCAGTGATTTCATCTCTGGGTTCCAATTTATTCACAGTTCTCAAGTCAGGAAGCGTTTGCCTATATGTTTCTTTTGCCCTTTCCCGTTGGAAGTAGAATATAAACTTTGAAAAGTAATACTCTGGGGCAGTTTGATATGAATCTATAAAGGCTAGCAGATTATAAATCTAACTCAGAGACCAAACTAGACAGGAAGCAAGGAGAGTGACCTGATGCTGTCAGTGTCAGCCTGGAGCAGGGCTGGAAAATCCAGGGGCGAGGGAGGAGGACCCCTTTGTGCCCTTGGGGTCACCTGCAGTGTGAGGCAGCAGGTCCCTGGTGGGACATTGGGAACCACCCTCATTTGCAAGGCTCTCTGTTGTAGCACTATCCAGGGGGACACACACCATCCACAGGGTGCACACGGCCTCCCCACAGAGCCAGCCCCCGACAGACACGGAGCGCATCCTGCCACCGACACACAGGTTTAAGTGCATATGTGTACCAGACTCATATTTCATAGGTTTAAGAATCCGGAAGAGGAAAACTGATTCAACTTGACATTTTTCAACTTTATTCAAAAAATGCTTTTGAAAATGATAATTTGTCTTTTTACTTGTAGGTAAAGGAGTGAGAGAAGTTAATGAAACAGTTACTAAAACTCCAGGTTTGTATTCCAGAACAGTTACAGATTTCAGTCCGATGAAGTGTCTTGTTCTCTACTACCTTTGGCACAGCAAAGCGATTTTTAGACTTTGGATTTCTGAGTGCATTCATCCGTGGAAAGTTAGGGTTTCCAACCCTGATTTCTTGCACCTCAGTGGAATTTTAGCGGGAGGATATCACACAGGAGCAAAGCCACCATTTACCATACGATGCCTTTGTATTTGGGGAGCAGAAAGGGACACAGTGGACCCCAGTGTGGTACGACGGAGAGCCTTCTAAATAGGGTGCGGTTCCCTCCTGACACAGCCAGCGCAGGTGCTCACTCGGTCACTCAGTTCGGCCCCTATGGCGCATTCTCCATGTCTCCAGCCCGCGCCCTTCTGGCCTGCTGGAAACAGCCCCTGCTAAATGTGCCTGAAGGAGGCAGCTCTGTCTCCTGAGGAGGATTTTGTTCCTGGAGATCATCCAGTGTAGTGGATCAGTGGTATAAATCTGCATCCTATTTAAATAGCAGGATGTACCTCCCCACCGTAGTATATTGATTAAGCCAACTTCCCTTCTTTAAACCAGAATTGGTAAACCTTATCTATAAGGGAGACTACCTGACTAGCACTTTTCTTACATGGATTTTAAACCCAGGATTCTTGGACATAAAGTTCTATTTTAGCATCAATGTGGAAAAAAATATTTGCAATGCTATTAATTCAGAATGCTGTGTTACACATTTAATTCTTAGGGTAAAATGTACCAACATAATTAGAGAAATCACTCCAGTGTGCACAAGGAAGAATAAAAAGTGTTTTACATTTATGGACAGTTTTATTGAAATATTACTTAAAAACAAATGACAGAAATCATTACTTTCTCCAGGCAATGCTTTCTTCAGTGGAAGGAAACACAACACTTTTGTTTTTAATGCCTCTGTGGTCTTTCTTCTGTTTTCTATTTGCTTCTTTCTGTTTGAGATAGTGCATTACCTGCAGGTGCTTCCCACAGGCCCACATGCTGTTAACAACAGATCTCTTCACCTCTGTCTTGAGCAAGGCACCTAATTAGTGGGTTCTTTGTCAGGGTGCTACTCTCTAACACAGCTCAGCTATTCCAGTGCTACACTAAGTGCAAAACAGGAGCAATCAGTCAGACACCCTGGACCCGAGAAAGCTGGCCTCCCCCCCAGGACCATGATCATAGTCTAAGCCACTGATGCCTCAGTCCACCCCATGAGGCCAGCCCATTACCACAGGGCACTGGGGAGTGTGGCTTAGGGCGGGGCTGGCTTATAGGTGCAGCTCCTCAGCTGAGCATGAGTTCCACCTGGGCGAAGCAGTGGGGCGTAGCCATTGATTTTAGTCTCTAAATGCAAGCATTTTACTGGTGGGGTCCCAGTTCAGATGAGGGCCTGTCTGAGTGCTTGTGGTGAGCAGGAGTGTCTGATGTCAGTTATTCACAAGCCAGCGCCTCAGATGGCAGCAATTTGTAAATAAGTGTTGGTGTCTCGGTGTTTAATTTACTCAGGTTTTGACTTTTACTATCTGTGTCCATAAATTGGGGATACTCAAAGGCATAGTGAGCTAATAGCATCTGTTCTTCTTGGCTGCCTGCAGGCAGGCGGAGTCCTGTGTGTGTGGCTGGGTAGGTAGGCAGCTGCACACAGCTGTGTGCAGAGAGAGACTCGTGGCCAGGGGACGGCATACATGTGGGGACTTAATCGTTGCAACTTTAATTGGATCAGCTAAAAATACACATGGGGTGAAACAAGCAATCTTCATTTTTACACACAACCAAAGTGCCTTGGCCAATCCCACTCGCAGAGGACTGTGACTAAATAAGTGGTCGACATGCCTCAGGAGCAGAGGGACGGAATGGAGGGAGATTTGTGCGTCCATCACCGGATGCACCTTAACTAACGCTGTGCACATGCTCACATGTTATATATAGCTACTAGCAGAGATGTGAAAATGAATTTGATGTTGTTCTAAGTGAAAGCAAGAGAAAACCTCAGCAATCTGCACATATTCCTGCCCCAGATGTATTTTACACTTTAAGAAGACTTCCTGACTTTCCTATATGAATTTAGGAAGCGCAGACAGAAGAGACAGTAGAGAGGGACTTGTGTGCCTGTCCTGACCCAGGGTGGCTTCCACATGGGGTCAGAGTAGCTGGAAGTCAGCGAGCCAGTGTGCCCGGGCGGAGAGCAGCCCTTGCCTCCCACTCTGCACAGGAAGCAGTGCTGGAAATGAGCTCGTGGAGGCCCAGGGTATCTGGCCCCGACCTGGCTCCTCCTTGTGAGCACTCTGTGCATTCCCAGTGTGGGCTGGACGCCAGTGAGCCAATGATAGCCAGTTCAGGGCTAAGTCTAAAGCATTCCTGCTGAGCTCTGTAAACCCCAGCCTACATTGGCACCAACACTCCCATGCCCCTGCTCTCCAAGGTACATCCCCAGCAAAACACAGATGGCCACACACTTGGGCATCATCCCACCTGCTGCTCCAGATTCTTTCCCACGTGATGAGGGGACAGTGCCCAGGTTTTCGGTGAGGTCCTCATGGTGGGCTGTGAGCGGCCCTGAACAGCGCCACTGTAGCTGACTTGTCTGAGCTTCCCCTCCTGTGTGCACTAACATTCGTCTGTCCCCTCACTTCCCACAGTTCCTTCTGATGTATTTTTCGCCAATTCCGTGTGGAAAGGATATTATGAATATTTAGGCAAGCGGCAGCCTGCCACTCTGACTGTTGACTGGTTCAATGCCACTAGCAGCAAGGTGAACGCGACCTTCACGACAGCTCCGCAGGTACAGCTGGACCTCACAGGTGGGTTCCGCTGTCTTTCTGCCAAGAGCCTACATGCCCGCTCTGGGAATGTGGCGTGGCATGGGCATTTGTGTTCTGGGTGGTTGGTGCTGTCTGCACTTTCTGGCAGCTTCCAGAGGAGGGACAGAATTTCCTCAATTTCCTCCGTGCCAGCACTGAACCGAGACTGGCGTTTATATTCAGATACCTCCATCTGCTGTCACTCTTCCCTGCATCCACGGAGGAGGCTTTGGTCTGGTGACTCCACGGTTCAGCCTTGGGGTGCCCTGCTCTCCTGGGGAGTACGTGAGGCAGGACTGGGCCCCATCGGGCCCCAGGGATGTGCAGATCTCCTGGCTGTGATCTCTGTGTGGGGAGGGAAACAGGGCTTCTGTTGTGATGTCTACGGGTACTGTTGTCTGATTTGTGTGCATTTCCCCCGAAGGCACATTACATTCCCTCTGCTCATAGCTGTGGGACAGGGGCCCAAAGGTCACAGGGCACCTGAGATCAGGAGCTTTGGTGTGAATGGACAGCTATCCTCGGAGCCCCTAAAATCCTGCTGGTCTGTGGGCAGCAGGTTCTCCACTCTGTGTCCTCCTCTCTCAGCTGATGGACTGCCCTGCTGAGCTTTCCTGGTGTCACTGCCCTGAACCTCCCATTTTCCCCATATATTGGATACAGTGGGTTCAACACTCTGTGACATCTGCTTGTTTGCATATTTATTTATTGATTCCCCCTTTGTCGGGGAGCTGGCCACAGGTGCCACTCACGCCCCACGTGTGCACTGGGGCCTCCCCGGGCTCCACCCCCTGCCACTCTGCATGGTGAGAGGCACTGATGCTATGCCACACCTCTTGGTGGATCCTCACTCACTCACTTGCTGCTTAGTGGGTATGAGGGCTGAGGTCCTCTGGGTGCAGCTCTGTTGTGAGTTAGGGTACTGCTCTGTTCTCCCTTCATATGCCTGTCCTCAGAAACGGTAAAACCCAGGTGCAAAGCATGGCATCTCTTCCTTAGAAAACCTGAGTATGGGTTTGCTTTGATTCCTTCTGTCAGGTAAAGGATCTGGATTTGGCGTGGGGAGCACAACTATCAGGACAGATGCAGGCAGAGACAGGAAGGAGCAGAGACGTTCGGGTGTTCATGGGGAAAACACATCACTAAAAGTTGCATTTGAAGGCTCTCGGGAGTTCTGCGCAATGGGCAGGTACCAGGTACCGCAGCAGGGAATGACCACAGTGGCCTTTCCGCAGGGGTCTACAAGAAGGAGGAGGCTCACCTGCTGCTGAAAGCATTTCAGATGAAAGGCCCAGTGGATATTTTTGTGAGCAAGTTTGAGAACGACAACTGGGGCCTGGATGGCTACGTACGTATTCATCAGAGCCTGGAGATGCAGTGCGGGTTCCCTTGCACAGCGTGGTCAGGGCAGGAGGGTGACTCCTGGAGGTTCCAGGTGGCTGAAGCTCGCTCTTCACAGTTGCGGAAAGCAAGTCTCTGAAGTGAGAGATGAGTCATCAGGAGTGCAGGGCTGGTGCTGCTGAGGCCAGCTCTGTGCTGGCATGGAGTGTTCATCTTGGCCACTGGGTAGCACAACCAAGGGGAAACAAACACTCTGGTAGTGCCATAGGAGGCATCACCATGACAGCCTGTGGTCACCCCCTGGTGGAGGCATTACCATGACAGGGTGTGGTCACCCCCTGGTGGAGGCATTACCATGACAGCCCTTAGGGTAGTCCCCTGGTATCTGCTGTACCCTTACCTTGTCTCACTCCCTGCAGATGGGGCCACACAGTCTCATGGGTTACAGAGGCCAGGGCTGTGATGCACAGGACTTGAATTTGCAGAATATGGGCTGTTCGTGAACTCAGGTGGGGTCTGCCCCAGGAGGGCGGCTACCACAGCAGTGAGTAGCATGGCATGATGCCACTTGGGGCCACTTGTGTAAGTCAGCTGAAGTTCGCCTCTGTATTGATCCCCGACTTTTAACTGTAGATGATTCACTCCAAGGAGTTTGGAATCATGAAGATTGGAGCCCCTACTATTAAATCTGAGCTGTGCTGTTACAGTGTGAAGGAGGATGAGTCCACAGGCTTCACGCTTCCCACTCATGCATGCTCTCCCTTCCCTGTGCACCAGGTGTCCTCAGGACTGGAGAAGGAAGGATTCACTTTCCAAGGCGACATACATGGGAAGGACTTCGGAAAATTCAAGCTAGAAAGGCAAGGTGAGTACACGCACGACATTTTAAAAGTGAATCTCAATTTGGCCTTCAAATGATCAAGCTGGGAAGACTTGGAAAGAATGTGACTCCGAAAGAAATGGGCAGGAAAACAAGAAGCGTTCAGCAGTCCACACAGATTTCTCATCAGGGTCGTGTGGAAATTCTCCTCAAAACACTCAGATCTCAAGAGCAGTAAGCTGTTCATGTTACATATCTGTCATAAAGGAATTGCTTCGATGAACTTTTCCCCAATGAAATTCATTAAACGGGGTACGACTGGGTCGAACTGTTTGGTTCCAGGGGTGAGGAGTGAAGGTGGAGTGGAAAGGTCCACTGCATGGGAAAGGAGTCGCCTCTAGGCAGACACAGATGCTCCTTCCTTCGCCAGCATTTTGTTTTTATTCTAGTATTGGATAGAGAAGGAAATACAGGGAAAGTCACAGGAGGTCCTCCCCTCAGACCTAGCCATGATGAAGATGATGATTCTGGTTTCTGGTGGGCAGGGGGCTTCACATGCACAGAGCAACCCCTGCCTTGTCCCTTAGTCGCGTAAGGATCAGAGGTCTGGACTCAGCTTTCCAGAGGTCTGCGTCCAGAGGTCTGGACGCAGCTCAGGAATACTGTAGCACAGCCTGAGTTGTGGAATTCCCTTACCCTTCACCCTCAGGGTCCCTGTAACATGTTGGCTTTATAAACAAGTGTGTTGCCATGCAGGCTTTGGTCCCAGGGCCCACGCAGAGGCTCAGCAGAGAACACAGGTCCATGCGGTGCTTGTGACCAGTGAGCTCCTACACAGAACCTCTTTGCTCGATTGCTCTCCAACCTGTGTATCGGCACACTTTATAAAAAGCAACATGTGGACCCCAAAAGGAAATCAGTCCTAAATGCTCAACCTTCATCATTTCAAATTGAGTACCATTAAGTGGAAGACCTTTAAATTATTCCAGCAAAGGCTGAGCTAATTCTTCAAACTGGGTTATGTTTTATCAAGTAATGGATAGAATGGGCTCCCGGGGTCAACACTAACTTCAGGGAAGGTTTCCCTTTTGCTTTGGGGAGAACCTCACAGGCCCTCATCCCATTTGCTTCCTTTGTCAATCCTGTGTAACCTTCAGGCTCACAGATGCAGGTGGAGACAGGATCTCAATGAAGTGTTGTAGAAAAAGACAGGAAATGTCCACAATGGGCAGCATCAGTACACTGGCTACTGGTTTCATGTAAATCCATCAATAAAATACGACGCGCCTTCAAAGATCCCATCTCTTTCCCATGTGGCCCATGGAAGAATCTCAAAATCTGTGGTCAAATTTGAAAAGCGGCATAAAATGTGAACATATGATATTCTTGACTTTTGGAAATATCTATGAGAAAGAAAAGACAGATAATCAGAAATACTACATTGTTGGAAAGATATTTTTTTAAAAAATCTGTTCCTGAAAAGAGGAAGAGCCTTCATTTCCCTGGTATTGTTTGTTTCCCCCTCTTTTATGCTGTTTTATTTGCTACCAGATACCTGTGTCATGAATCAAAAGAGGTCTGGTTGGAATTAACTGGGAACCTCCCATAGCAGCCTCAGTTCAGAGTGAATTTAACTCTGAGCTTCACAGAGCTCTGGCTCTGCACTACTCTTTGTCATGGTGTGGTTTCCAGAATCCCACCATGAGATCCCACTTGGAATCTCTAAGTCTACTATGGACAAAAGCACACAGTTTGGTTTGAAGGTAGTAGGAAAGAGCTGTGGTTAATTTTAGCAGAATACAAGTTCACACAATGAGGCAGAAGACTCAGAGTTGTGGAAGTCTGAAGGATTCCCTCCGAGGGGGTCACAGGAATCTCAGAGTGATAGAAACCAGCAGCGTTACCTAGTGAAAACAACCTTTCTGTCCCACCAGAGGCTCTGGCTCTCTGCTGCAGGGCAGGTTCTGGGGAGCCTGTAAGGAGACCAGCTGGAAGAACACGCCTGGGAATGTGGGCGGGCAAACAGTGGCCACGCCCCATGCTTTCTTCTCAGCATACTCTTAGTTATGGAGTTGCTGCCTGTGGAGCAGAGACCAAGCCAGCCCTGGTTCCTGGCTGTTACTGCTACCCCTCTGCTCCAGAACCTGCTAGCATGGCCAGAACATGGGGGACACTGGATATGGGCCCCAAGCTCTCGCACCACGATACCCTGGGAATAAAGGCTGAGCTACACAGATCTAGCACCTCTCATGGAAACCAGTGCCCTGGTAGAAGCTTGGAGGTTAGTGGCCCCCATGCCTATTCCTGCATGCTCAGAAAGTCTCCCCTCCATGGTGGCTTGGGAGGAAAGCTGCAAAGGTACGACTCCTTTACAAAGTATGTCCAACTGTTAAATGATAGACAGGAACAGTCATGTATCTATGGAAGCACAGGAAAACAGACCATCCAAAAATTATATGAAAATTCAAGAATTTTGATATAAACCATATTTTAAGGATTTTAATATTTGATTGTTCCCTTGCATTTATAGTTTCTAAAAAGAAATGAGATGTCTCTTTCAATTCAGCACTTCATAAATTCTGGAAATATACTTCAAAAAACTAGACCAACTTGTCCACAAGTCTGCTAAGTTCAGAAGGCTCTAATCATGATCCATTATACATATAGTTAAGTGACTCCATGCAGTCAGGGCATATAGGCTTCAAAATTGTGTTTTATAAGGAGGCCTCACAGCAAGCCTCCTGCTTTGATAAAACATGTTCTTGTGATAAAGTGTTGCCTTGTTTGAATTTCCAACACCGCCTGTGTCTCAGTGACTCACATGTGCCTGGGCACTGCAGATGCAGACCGTCAGGCTGAGGGCCATCCCCTCCCCATGTCTGCCTCCCTCCTTCTGGCAGCACCTGTGCCTCTGCCCCCTGCCATGTCCACACTAGTGGGGGCATCCTGACCCAGACTGGGCTCTAGCTTCAGGACTTCTAAGTGACCTAGAAAACTTTGGAAAATGCCCCAAATAAAAAGCAGTAACACTTACGTTTTCACATAGGGAGGATTGACACCATTTACATAGAGAGCTGAGATACTTGCATAAGTTTGATGACTATAATTTTTCAAAATCTGGCCTTAGAACAGGAGAAAGGAACCAATACTATGGGTCTCTCTACATGGACAAAGATAGGTTGCTTTCTGATTGATTCTTTTGCAAAGAAAAATAGCAATAACTAAACACATGTCAAAATATCTAATGACCCACTCACTTTTCAGGCATTTGAAATTTGAGACTCTTTCATAGGATTGTTGGGTATTAACAAAGAATACTCTGAGATTTTCTTTTTAATCTTTGTCATTAAAATGGGTATTAAAGTCTTCTGGAAAGTGCTCCAGTGGGTTCCCTGCAGAGCTGAGTCTCCTGCTTCTCCTGACATTTGCATCCACTTATAAAATCTGTCATGTTTAAACCTGCAGATTAAATATTCTTCTTCCCTTCCAGATCCTTCAAGTTCTGATCAAGATCCTTCAAATCAGTACCACGGCACCAGCAGCGGCTCGGTGGCAGCTGCTATCCTGGTTCCCTTCTTTGCTCTAATCTTATCAGGATTTGCATTTTACCTCTACAAACACAGGTACCTAACTGCAGGAGCGAGGGGACTACAGCTCTCTGGTGTGTGGCTGGTTCTGCTCCTGCTCCTGCCTTTCCTGTTGCCCTATGCCCTACAGTGCAGGACTCACTCTTGTATAGGGATGTGGTAGGCTCAGGGGCATTAGCCTTGGTCTTTGTTTTTTGTCTGACTTTATCAAGGGGACACAAATAAGTAATTGGCCTTAAGAGAACAGGCAAGTGGGTTAAGGAGTCCTAGGCTTTGCCAACAGGGGTGGAAACTGGGAACGCTGAGGGTGCTCCAACTCCCTCCGGAGGGACCAGTGCTCATGGGGCTCCGGTTAGCTCCCAGGAGTCCAGGATTCATGCATTGTGACTAATTCATCCTTTGAGAAGATAAAACACTGAAATTTTAATATACATTAAATAATATGTGTCCCATCTCTTGAAAAACTCTTCTGAATAATTATTTACAAATTCTAACTGAAAAATAATTGGGTGAAAACAACTCTTTTGGAATGGATATTTTCTTTGGGATTAATTGGGATACAAAAAAAAATGGTTGTGGAGGCATTGCTGTCCCTGATGGCATTGCTGCCATGTGGATGTCACTCCGGGGAATTTGCCAAAGTGCTCTCAAATATGATTTTAAATAACAGTATTCCCCACAAATATTATCAAGCTGTTATGATCCCTGGAATAATATTGAACTATCTTAACTGGGCCAAATGTTTATATAATATGCACATTTCCACTTAAACCTTAAAAAACATAGAAGTAATATGGAGACAATACTTTTAGTACCATATGACAGAGCTTGTTTAAATATGTGCTTTTTTATACTTTTACAATGTGTAAAACAAAGCCTCTGATGGATTAGTTGCCCCTAGGTCTGTCTTCTTTTGCCTGTGGTATACATTGCTCTTATTTTAAAAGTGTAACCCAGTGAAAAACCTGAGGTGGCCTTTGCAGAACTGAAGGTCCGCAGGCAGGGGTGCAGCTCAGAGACACAGCTCCAAGTAGGCCCTGAGCTGCATCCAAGCACCTGGGAAATAAACAAGCAAGGACCAGTCGGTCCCACCAGCACCTTTTCTCTTGGAGAGGAAGTATGCCCTGCACAGACATCTGAGACACAGCCTGCAGCTTTTGTGCAGGCCACTGTGGGAGTCAGTGACACACAGACCAGTTCGTCCCTTGAAGGGATGCACACTGAAAGTGTGTCTTTTTCAGAGTTGATCCAGATACCCTCACAGCCCTGGAGGCCAGATGTCAGAACTGATAATGCCTACCAAAGGTTTGGCCTTCACCCAGGGCAAGGGTTACCACACCTTACGCACCTTTTGGTCTCTCTGTCCCCCTGGGTCTTTGCATTCTCCAAGGCCTCTTTACCCATCCACGCACCAGCACTCCCAGCCTTGGAGATGCAAATGTCCACAGGAGTCCCAGAGACTCTTGTCCTGTGAAGTGAGAACACCACACAGCTCCCAGGCATTTACATGTAGGTTAAACACCACGGTGGCTTACATTGAACCTGTGTGTCAGTGTGCCTTCAGCACCTGCCTCAGATGTGGTGTTTACACACAGCCTGGGAGCTTCCCCACGGCACCAGTGTCAGGTGGCTTTACGAGAAGCCCTGGGAAGACCCAGGTCACAGTCCAACCTGGCAGGGGATGGCCTGGGCTTGTGTGGATATCCATGTACCATGAAAGCCTCTCCATCTGGGTGCCACTGAGCCCCAGTACTACTAGAGTTAAGGATGCGGCCATCCTCTGCCTCCAGGGAGGGGCCCGTGAGGCCAGTGTCCCCTCAGGTGTGTAGGGTTGTGAGATCCCTGCTCCCTGCTGTATGGCACGGGTAATCTGCAGGAAGGAAGAGCCCTGGCTGCCTGGCGCTCTGTGGAACTGTTTTCCCTGCACTCCTGCCCTGTCCAGGCAGAGCACCCTGCCTTCCCTTGCACACACACCCCTTGGAGAGCGGCTCAGTGCTTCTCCCCAGAAACGTGGCCTCCCACTGCACACCATCCCAAGCCTGCTAGGTCAGGTCCCTGTGAGTCCCTAGCTGGTAACACTTGTGCTGCTGCAATCCAGTTCTGACTGTGCCCCCTCTTCTCCTTCTAGAACAAGACCCAAAGTCCAATACAATGGCTATGCAGGACACGAAAACAGCAACGGACAAGCTTCCTTCGAAAATCCCATGTATGACACAAACTTAAAACCCACAGAAGCCAAGGCTGTGCGGTTTGACACGACTCTGAACACAGTGTGCACGGTGGTATAGCCGCAGTGCTGGCCTGACCCATAGCCATACCTCTGAAGGACAAGCAGTACTTCCTTTGGTGCCATAGACCACACTTCCTTCTCTCTCGCTCTGCTGCAGCACCTTCCTCCATCGTCTCTGGGTCCTGATGGGAGCCTCCACCTGCTCCTTGGGGAAGCGTCTCCTGAGGACCGGACTGCAGACATGGATTCCTAAGGTGTCTGCTGAGGCCCAGGCATACTCCAGGGAGGAGTGTGAGCCCTGAGACATGCCAAGTCTCGGGCCCAGAGCCCGCTCTCTGCGGCCCGGTGCCCTTCAGTGCAACCTCGGGGCACGCGAAGGCATCCTCCTGGCACGGCGACCACATGCTAGCTCCGCAGTCCGTGTTTTCACTTTCCTTTGACTCCCCACAGACACAGATGCTTGAAAAGAAAAAGAAAGTTTTCCTGAGGAAGACACCTTTCCAACAGATGTGCACACCTACAAACGCTTCTCTCTGTCCTTCCTGAGACCCAGCAAGCTTTGAGGACCTCACGGCTCCCAAATGTCCACCACGAGGGACCTTTGCCAATTTCCCAGCCAGCTTTCTATTGCAGAATTTTTGATGCACAATTTTTTGCACTAGGGTGTAATGAATGATTGAGTAAGACTCTGATAAAAAATAAACTGATCACACAGGGTTTATACACACTCTGCGTTGTGCCAGCTACATTTCCCACCATTGGTTCCGTTGGAGTGCAGGAGAGTCCCCAAACCCATGACAGATTGAGAAAGGAAAAGCAGTGCGGAAGAAATTCAGGTTTCCATCGCTTCTACCAGCTCCATGTGTTTTTATACCCATTGACAATGTCCAACAACAAAACCAGAGGCCTTTTATTTTCCATGTTTCCTTCCTTTAGGATTGTAGTGACCCAGGTTTTGTCTCTGATGTACATTGAGGCCAGGTGGCTTGTCACGATTTCCATTTGCCATGTACAGATGTGAATAGTAATTTATTTTTAGGTAGCTCGCAAACCTGTGGGTCTTGGCTCGCAGTCCCGCCTTCCCTCTGGCACCATCGTCTCCTTCCTTTTCCGTGCACGGCAGCACGGCATGGTCAGGGCCGGCACGCTAGTGTGTGCCTCTCATGGCGACCTGCTCTGTGCTTCTGTTTCCTGCTTTAGAATTCCAGACAGGAAGACCGTTGCCGTGATTCTACAAGCTTAAATTCATGACAGGTAGAATTATAAAGTGTGGAATACATAAAATATGTCATGTTCCCCAAGTGGATAAAATGTTAAAACATGGATAGATGTGACCATGAGAATGTTCTGTAACAAATTTAAAGTGAAGATCATGTTTATTTTTATTTATAATTGTTTGATAAAGGTATTTTTGAACAGATATGCTTATTTTATTATTTGATGCTGAGGTACACACTCCACGCCAGGAAGGTCCCCTGAGCATTCTACTTCCTGAAAGCCAGGTGCCACTGGCCTTGGTTTGCTGCAAGATTGCGCAGGCCTTGCTTTGAAACAGGAGTAGGCCTCTGTGCAGTCTGCTTGTGAGTGCAGGGCCTTTCAGGTGACACAGGAAGCCTGGAGCCCACCGGGGGCCAGCCCATCCCTCTGAAAGTCCTATCCTGGGCTCCCTCTATGAGCACCAGCTGCCCACTTCCGGTGAGCTATGTACCCGAGTCCACACTGCTGGGTCCAAATGGTGTGCTGCACTTGGGCACACGCTATCGGGTCAAGCTCACCTGCGGGGACCTGTCTCTTGCCTGTCCAGGTCAATCCAGTGAGGTCCACGGGAGCCACGCTCCTGATGTGCACTGAGGCGAGGCGGCGGCAGTCAGAGGGCTGCTGTGTGCAAGGGAGAACAGGGTCACTATGTACATTCGGTGTATATATATATACATAGAGCTATATATATTGTACATATCTACGTTTGATCACTCAGAACAGGTGCAAACTGCTGACTCGAGAGTCTGATCAACTCCCTGTCCCCGGATTCCCAACTTGCTTGCTGGTCAATGACAGAACGAGCCCTGCAGTACCCGGAGGACACACACACACACACACACACACACACACACACACACACACAGGAGCCACAGGCAGGCACGGGGGTGGCTGCTGGGGCATCTACCCTAGATGCTCTGGAGCCAAGTCCTGGGGGCTGTCAGCTCCCGCCAAGGTGTGCAATGTCTCGCTTGTCCCTTCCCCACCTCGAGTGCCCAGGTCATGGGGTGGCCAGATGTGCCTGCCCCTTGGGGCTGCAGCACAGAGTGGGGAGCGGCTGTGCGGCCACGGGTATGGGCTTCAGACCTGTGTAGACTGCTGCTTGTCCCACATCTTGCCTTCCTTCAGGCTAGCTGCAATAATTTTTTTTTCTTCTGTAAAATATTTTGTAAGCAACAACGTAAGAAGCTATTATGGAAAGGGGAAAAAGGAAGCTGGCGTCACGGTCAGGAAACCCATCGCCACCCCCATCACCCACACGCTGCTGTCACGAAGTAGGTGCAAAAGACCTTTTTGTACAGAGATATATTTTTTATGAAGAATTTGTAAAATTATTAAATATGCTGTAATTTTTTGATTAATGTAGGTAAATTGTTAAAAATGTTTTTACAATACAAAACTGTAATTTTCTCAATAACGTAAAATGTACCATCTCTAGCTGATTTTCAGTTCCAATCCTATTACACATGTATTAATATTAAAGTGGCCTGTTAAAATGAACAGTATCTTTTTTTGTCAAAAAAATTATAAAGAGAGTGTAACATAGCCTGTGCAATGCCACCTATCTTTAAAGCAAATCAGAGTTCTAATTAAATATTTAATTTTAGATTTCTACTTTCTCCTGTGGCTTTATTTAAGCTGTGGTGTGTGCACATCAGCCAGTCACAAGGGTGGACGTGGCGAAGGTGCGTGTAAAAAGCCTCGCCTGTGATCAGCCTGAAATTCTGAGTTTCCCTGAGACGTCCGCATCCTGTCTGCATCAGCAGTGAGCAGGCTCCCGAGGACCCACCGCACAGACCCTCGGGGCCTGCAGATTTCATCTGGTTGGAGCGAAGAACCAGTAGTAACCCTGTGGTTTATGCTCCTTTTTTACCGGGAGGTCGTTCTGTAAATGCTGGAAAGGGGCATATGAGGCACACAGAGGCCTGTCCGACAACACAGATCCAATACCCACGTGAGGAGCTGTGCAGAGACTGGGTCTCTCCCCGCACCCCTCAGGCACCTGCCAACTCCTGTTCCTGGGCTGACAGGACCAGCATGGCCCGGAAATGAAATGTCTTATAGACAAACAGGATTTGCTATTAGGTTTCCTGATCAAGTTACTGAGAAGAAGAATGAAGCACACACAGCCGCACGCTGGCTCAGAGATGAGTCTGGCATCCACCTTCTGTCCTTGGTGCCCCCAGGCCTGGCCTGTGCTCAGCTGCCCATGACTGAGGCCCAGCTGAGTGGGAGACACCTCTGACATGAGCCTCAGGGGTCACAGTGCTCCTGATCTGGAGGGGAGGGAGTCCTCGTGCTTTACAAATTAGGTCAGGAAGCAGAAATTCAGAGAAGCTCCTTATTCTACACAAAGAAGTGCAGGTGAACTAATGTCAGAGGCACTGTCTCTTGTTACAGCTCAGTCTTCTTTCACCCAAAGAATCACACGGACGACCCACCGACCAGGGGTAGGGGTTGATACTTCCCCAAGCCTTTTGGTCACTGTCCCTTTTAGCCTCTCCCCTGCTCCTAGTAAACCCTGCAGTCCCTGCAAGCTAGGGATCCCAGGAGAAATGAAACCCATTTTGCCTTAACACCCCAGCATGTTCACACACACACCCCCTTGGGAGTTGGTGGCAGAGGATGGTGGGCCCAGAGCCCTGCGGAGACTCTGGGGAAAGCAGTGCCTTCTTGTTAGCATCCCGTGGGGACAGACCCCTTCCTTTTGTCTGCAACGTTCGCTTTGAGCCCTCAGCCTTCCAGTGCAAGCCAGGCGCCTCGCAGCCTCACAGGCGGCCTACAGAGCTTTTCGGCACCTGTGAGTTTGACACAGACTCATGGCAGCCTCAGCTAGCAATGAAACAGCCTCATCACAACCTGCTCCATGAAGTGGCCTGCATAACGACAGAGGGCTCTGAGTTGGCCTGTGTGTGCGGTGGTAGGGATTTCCCAGGCTGCAGGTCACCAGACCCATTGCAGTCATCACATAAGAAAGCAGTGAGTACGAGCTTGCCCACAGTGTGGCACACCTGTGACTTTTCAGGGTAACTAGCTTCCTTTTCTGGGTGGCACAGGCTCCCACCTTCCCTGGGGGAACCCCCACGCCCCAAATCAGCTTGAGTGGTCTCGTAACAGTGCTGTCTCTGGGGGAGTCAGAGCCCTTCAGGCCCCTCCCAGGACCCCCACAAAGCCCCAAGGTCACCACACACTGATCTGTGGAGCCTCTGCTGAGGGATGATGTGGCCTCTTTGCAGGTGAATTTTTTTTTTAATTTTATTTAAAAGGGAAACAACAAAACAAAACAAAGCAGTGTAAGGATACAAGTAATACAGAACTACAAAAAAAAAAAAAAACCAGTAAGAAATCACCGGTTAATAAATCACATATTATCATCTTAGAGATAGTTGCTCAAATCACAGTATCAAAGCATACAAAGTGGACACTCAGACAGTGAGACTGCAAACAGTTGTGTTCAATGATCCAACCAAAAACATTAATATGGTCAGCTATTTAACACCCATAAACACTCTTGCTGTTGTATCATATGAACTCTTTTTTTTTTCCCCTCTCTTTTTACAACAAAATTTACACATTTTGGGTTTTATTACTCCTTAGTTCTTATTACTTTTTTTTGGGGGGGGGATAAAGTCAAATATGGCAAAACAAAGCTGTCAGTCAAACCAAGGATAGATATAGCACATGATGTAAAACAGAGTACAACGTTATCAACAATGCTTATCTCAACAATGTCTCTTGTTTCCTTAAAAAGAATTGTCTATCTCATTATATATTATAAAGTTGAACAAAACAGTAGAGAACAAGACCAATAAAACTTAAGCATTGTAAACATTACAGGACTTCCAAAGGAGACAATAGTCAAACCAGAATGGGCATCTTAGTGAATCGTATTGCCTTCAAAGTAGTTGCCTATACCCTCAAACTTGATACTATCATACAGAATGGAACAGAGTCTAATTAGTCAAAACAAGATCGTGGGAGTATTACAGGCCTTCAAAACAAGTTAATAGGAAATCAAAAAAGTTACTATTATATACCCTGCTAATTTTTAAAATTTTTCCCCTTAATTAAAAAAAAACATAAATAACTAAATAATTTTTTAATGAATAAGGCAGAGATTGAGATAAAACAGGACATAATAATATAACAATACAGGTCAAAGCATGACTGTTTCAGCAACCTAGTGGTTCACCACCAAATAACCCGACTTAATAGTAGTTACCATAGTGTCTGTCTTTTTCCTTGAAATATTTGAATAAAACTTCATATACTATAGCTTCAAGTATTTCCATATCAAGAAGCCCAGAATAAAGCCTTTCCAATTAATAAGTGAAAACTTTATAAGGCTTCAAGGCCACATAATGGGGAATCATGATTACCACATATTTTTATATATTTGAATCATTACTTACATTAGGGAAACTATTCGATATTCATACATGCGAGATTGATTTATTTCACTTATGAGTATGGTCTCAAGCTGCACCCATTTATTGATAAATATCTCAATGTGATCCTTCTTTATAGCTGAATAATACTCCATTGTATAGAAATACCACAACTTTTTTATCCATTCCTCCGTTGATGGACACTTGGGTTGTTTCCAAGATCTGGCATTACAAATTGTGCTGCTATAAACATAGGTGCACATATATCACTGTGGTATGATGCTTTCAGTTCTTCTGGGAATATGCCTAGAAGTGGAATAGCTGGAATAAATGGGACTTCCAATCCCAATCCCAGCTTTGCAGGTGAATTTTTATTGACTTTATTCAGCTTTAAAGAAAATTTCTTGTCAAACAGGATTAAATAGCATATTATCTTTCATTTAGGAAAATTTGGCATTCACTTGAGGAACACGCTTGTGGGTCATCAGATTCTAACTTTCTAAATCAGAAAATGCCCGAGGTTCTGCCAGGACCTTTGGTTCCCTTCAGGGAGACTCCTGGCCAGGGCAGCTCAGGCTGCACAGTCTGCGTGGACCCATCTGCCCACGTGCACCACTCTGGGTGAGGGTAGAGAGCTTGCCCTCAGTGTTAAAAACTGCTGTGCACCAGTGAAACAGCTCACTGATTTGAGGGAAACAAGCTCAGCAAGAAGCAGCTCCCTCTGTTCAAGTAGGAACCAAAAGTCACTGGCAAACACCCTGAGCTGAGTCTGCAGCCCTGGCCTGGGCTGTGAGCACTGCAGCATCCACACAGCTGGAGTATGGGGCAGGGGTTGGGGGTCTGGGTCTAGGGAGCCCTTGTTGCTGGAGATGCTCTTCTGACCTCTTAGGTCAGCTGAGGGCTGGGCTGGCCAGGCCTGTGGGCACATGCCTTCCTCTTGCCTCTGTCTACAGAAGTGCTCACTGGGGCCTAATGTGACATCTCTCTGGACCTTGGTCCAGACAAAATGACCCAATTCAAACAGGACAGTCGCTCAGCCAGAGAACTCCTAAGTGGATTTCTGGGCAGTTTCAAAGCAAACGTCTCCATGTGTGTCTCCTTTCTCACTAGATACATGCAGGTCTTCTGGTCAAACAGATGAAAAAAATGAAAAGCTACAATTGGCAACCAAAAGCTAGCTTTTCAAAGGACTCCAAGGTTCTGCAGCCTGAGGGTGTGGACAGCTTCTAAGGAATACCATTGGGAGCCCAGACAGTGTTACTCCATCTCACTCATTGGACACTGGGGTGGGGACAGTGTCTTGCTCTTCCAGTCAGCACTCAGAGAGTGGTCAGTCATGCTCAGACAAGTTGGTTTTGGAATAAGAGCAACCTGAACTTGCAATTTACCTACCAGCAACAAGTGAATTAAAAGCCTTGCAAAAGTTACTCACGCAGCAAGAAGGGGTGAATTTCTTGGCAGCCAGAACAGCGACCAAGCCCTCATCAGTCAGCATGGGACATCATGTGTGTCCAGGCCATGGAGGATAACAGGAGGCAACTCAGGAAATCGCAGGCAGGATCTCTCTGTGTGCATCAGCAGCAAGGACGGGGTTGTGCACTGTGCTGATCTCTCTGACACTGGTGATTTCCCAGGCTGGTGGGAAGAACCAAGAGCCCCGGACCTCCCCAAGAGATGTGTCCAGAGAGACCCTGGACATCATGCCCCATTTCCAAAGGCAGTGTTCACAAACCCCAGGACACTGTCAGTGCATAGTCTGAAGGGACAGTAATTCTAGGAGTCTTGAACCGGGAAGAGACCTTGCCACAACTGCAGACCACAAAGGAGGTCTCACCACAGGGTTATACCTTACAGGTTGGATGGCAGGGAATCTCTGAGATGGGTCCAGCACCACACATGTGTGTTGGGCTTGGTCTGGCATGATCCTGGAGAGAAAGAAGTCCATTCTTACCTCTGCGGACCTCAGCCAATGGCGATTCCATCTCCAGCTTTCCATGATCTACCGCACATGGAAACCGGGCCCTGCCTCCCGGGAAAAGGTTCATTGGTGTTCAGTGACACAGCAGGAAGAAGCCATCTTTTATTTCTCCTTTAAAGTCCTAGTTTGGCAGCTTACAGAGTCAGAGGCCTCTAAAGAGAAGCCTGAGTTTCACAAAACAATGTGGCTTTTTGCCAGCCGTGCGAGATTTGCTTCTCCAGGTTGAGTGCCTTCACCTGGCAGATTTG